TTCGACCACAGTCGAAAATCGAATGCAACTCATAATAGGGGCCATAAGCTATTTTCAAGCGAGCAACTTTAACTGTAACTAATAATGGGCACTTTTCGAACGTTCCTCGTACAATTGAATGCAGACATAAACGTATTATTTGTTTAAATTGGTAGTGCTATTATTTTGTTGTATACATAGTAAACATTGTTATTTATTTAGTCAACTTCTTTTTAAATGAAACCAATTGACTTTTTTTAATGTATTTATGTACAATATATGAAGAAAAACCGCAATTATGTAGAATGAATAATAATAAAATTGCACGCAGCTGTAATTGAGCGAGCTTTTAGAAAGCAAAATATAATTTAATTTATAATCAAACAATAGGGGTGTGCGTGATTCTGTCATTATGAAAGGTTTTATAATAGAATGTTTGTCTAATGCTGATAATTAAAAACTGGCTTGAATTTTACTCATGGCGCACCATTGGATTATATGCATATGTAGTGCATATTAAGTACATACGCTTTTGACGAAGGCCTTCTATTACTTGGGATGAGTTTTTTAGGCGCAGCTTTTACATTTTTTGCAGCGTTTTGTGTCTGACTTAGTGCCTTCCAGAGTCAAATACAAATTACCGAGATTATCACGTGCACTTAACATTTGCCCCAAAATTCCCGGCTCCAGCTTAACGATTATAGCATTTTAAGTGCTCTAAACATTTTTTCTGTCGGTTTTCTCGTTATCAGAGCAGCATTCACTGCCCAAATTAAGAGGATCATAGCCTCTAGAACCATACAAAGGTCTACTAGGTACTCAAGAATGATAGAATACAAGATTGCGCATTGCGGGTGATGACGTCAAGATAGCAACGAATAGGAAAGAAAAATTGGAGATGGAGGAGAGAAAGAGTGTTAACTGTCAAACCATGGAGGTCGCCATATTTACATACATATAAACATCTCTGCATACATACCAACAGTTTGCTAAAATGACGTCACATGAACAGCTGATTCTGTCAAATTCGCCAAGAACAAAGTAGCGGTACTGCTGATTGCGCCACCTCTGTCTACCTACATCGTGCTAGGTACTAGTATCCTCAGAGTACCTTGGAGTTGAGAACTTATTATTGTTGTTGTTATTGTAGCGGCTACAACAACCCCGACCAGTTCGGCTAGTCACTCAGTCGTTGTCGTCAAGCTCAACTAATGGGAGACCGAAGAAGCGTGCTGTTTCTATAGGGTCCGTCCGTAGGAACAGAGGCGTCAGTTGAGTGGGGTTTAGTGGGCATGCGAAGAGATGTTTCGAGTCGTGTGGTGTCTCTCCGCATGCCGGGCACACATTTTGCACATCTACGTCCAGTTTGATCAGGTACGAGTTCAACATGCTACAGTAGCCGGAGCGAAGTTGGGCTACTGTGGTCCAAGTCTCCCGGGGCAGACGAAGCTCAGACGAAGAACGGCATTTACAGTTCTGGAGTTTACGTAACTTGAGACCGATCCCTGTGAATGCCGCTCAGGGCCTGTCGGTATGCTAACGGGTCCAGAGGATGCTTTATGAGAACTATGTGTCTAACCTTTCGCTGCACAACGATGAATCCCAGTTGCTGTTAGACTTTGGGAGTTTTTGTTAGGCAGATAGTTCATATACGACACCATTTTTGATAGAACTTATTCAAGATTGCCGCAGAAGCTAATTTTAAATTTGACATTTCTTATGATAGCGACAGAAAGCTGCGTATCGTCGAATCAAAGAAAAAAAACATTTGAAGCTTTCCAAAAAGCTTTCTGTTTCCAGTTTGTAAATACTTTGTTCACTTTGGAAAGCACCTTTCAGCGCTATTGTTCAAAATCTAAATTAAAATAGCAAACAACTGAAAAGCAGAATGCTTTTAAATTGACATAATTAGCTATTCACATAGATTGAGCTTTTATAACACGCGTAAATATATTTAAGCATGTAAAGCGAATCAATTAGTCAAGGTCTCAATGAGTCATTTGCATATTGAACTGGACTAACGATTACCAATTGTATACATAATTTCACTGTTGCATGCGCTATTGGCACATTTCGAGAGCTCACCAAACCAAAGGGGGTATTTTTAGAACACACTAAGCAGAAAAAATTGCACCTGCATTGCGAGGGAATCGAACGGAATACCACAGAAAGTGCAGCAATTGATTATACTCGTATTGCGGATGGCAAACAGGAACTAGCGGAGCGGAAAATTCGAGCGTAAATGAAATGAAAATAAAAATTAAAAGAAAATAAATAGTTCTACAGTTGAATATACGTACGTACGTATCGTTACCTTAATATAGAAAGGTGCTATCTAAAATTTCAATTTCTTTACGAAGTAATGAGTCCTTTTGCTGCGAATTTCTTTTAAAGGCTGTTTTTGTTAACTAATTTTATGCCGCAGTAGAAATTTTTAAAATCCAATAGGTGCTTAGTGAGTTATCGGCAGACTTTTATACAATACTGGATTTGAATAGAAAATGAGTTAGGGCATTTCTATATTGAGGTAACGATATGTACATACATACGTATAAATAAATTAATTTTGCAAAGAATTTGCACACCAATATCGAAAATTTCCACACTCGTTCGCTGCTCAACCATTCACCCAACTAAAGTACATATCCGCCTATCTAGAAAAACAAACACACGATTAATTAAATGATTATAAACTATACATACACACACATGCATATAATGTAAATTATTTACTCCTAGATACACAAAGATATACTTGCAAGAATATTTAGACAAACTTAAGTATTTTTTCCATTACTTACTTGAGCGTCTCCACTACGTACTCGGGCAAACCCTCAGTCTTCGATAAGCATAAATAGCGTGTGGTTTGGCGGCCAAAGAGTATATTATTTTCACGCCATAAATCGGCATCGGCATCTTGATCGTATGTACGATGTACGGGTGTGAAATTCTTTGGGCATCTAGAAAATAATGAAGACAATTTTAGAATAAGCTGCAAATAGGCAATAGAAATAGGGAGCGGTTGGTAGAAATAAAAGTAAAAACTCAAGTTGCGACAGCGCTGCAGTTGAAGCGTGACGAAAAAAACGCCACACGCAAGCGCGAGCTGCTCGAGTTAAAGCGCTAGAACTCACTTCTTGGTTAAGAAAAAAAAAATGCAAGGGGCAAGCAAGTTGGTCGGCACAGTGGGCCAAGTACAAAAACTAACGACATTATTTCCTATATAGGATGATGATCTTCCATCAAGCTACAGAACAGTTGGCGATATGGTTATTGGCTAAGGAATTGTTTCTCGAAAACCTAGGAATTAGCCCCAGAATTGGAGAACCGGTTAGAGAGGCAAACATTTTGACCAGTAGACAAGGGAGTTGAATCTTTCCAAAGCGACGTGTCGATTACAAAGAAACTCCGTATCGGACGAACAGAATTGAAAGTACTCATTTTCGATGATCTTTCAACTTATTTAGTATTGTGCTGATCCTGATTCTGAAAACCAATTTATTGTAAATAAGTAATTTTTAAGCAAAAAAACAAAAAAAAACTTTAATTCTCATATAAAAATTGAAGAGTACCGTTAATTTTTTCATGATCCAATGATCGGATCTAAACCAAAAACCACCTCTGAGGTACCACCTTTCCTTTATAGAAATCGGTTAACGTTGTCCACAGTTATGCGGTAGCATACATACATTCCGATGAATTGATGACTTCCTCCCATTTTTTAACTCGGTTAAAAGTAAGAAAAAAATGTTGGAAGATCAAAAAAAATCGATGTATCCAGCTCTTATACATTCAGTTGCAGTAGGTTTGAGAATCAGGTGAAGGCAGAGTTAAACCTGTTACAATATCTACATCGTAACTGCACCAAGTGATGCGCATCCCACGAGACATCCGTATGACAAACACCAGGACCTCAGGATATTTTTTAAAAGGTCCTGGAAATTAGAAAAATTTAATTTTTTATTTGAGTTTTATTGTTTACTTTAATTTTTATGCATATTCTAATTTGTTGTACATTTCCACCACATCCAAAAAAATTTTCTTCGCCCATACAAGATTTCCGACCCACAGTGCACTGCGTCCATCCAACGCACGTACGTATGTATGTAAGTTTGTAGGCATATAGCATGACATTTACACCAAAGTGAAGGGGCCATTTATACAACTATCTAATACTTATGCAGGGAATTTCAAGAAAAATGCATGCATGCGGAAGCGTTGTGGGCTAATTTTGCGACCGCAAGCAAGAGTGCCAATCGACGAAGCAACAATAAGAACGTCCTACCCAAGCAGCCGAGACAACAGCAACAATAATAGCATTAACCGCTGCTTGTGAGGCCAAGAACTTACGGGAATTGGCCCAAGCAGGAGCAGCCACTTTCTTAGGCAACCATCAGCTGCTTTTAGTAGCAAAGCAATTGACTAATGGCGGCACTTCTGCAAGTGTAATTTTCGTTTTGAGAATTGCCGTAAGCACCCTATGCTCGGACGCAGCTGTGTCGTATATTTATATATGTATGTATGAGATATGTATCTCACATGCAATCTTATTTACGAATGTTTATGTATATACAATTTTTGCTGTCTATAAGTTTCTACATACTTTTCATAATCCTCAACAATTTGCAACGATGTTATGGGCCGATTGTCGGGCAAAAAACTCATTATGGAATTGATGACATTCTTTTGTGTAGATAGTGCGCCGACTGCATTGACGGCGGTGGGTGATGTAGTCACCCCGATACCACTCTGTATATGCTTGCTGGCTTTATTCATGTTTCTGTTACCGCTGTGGCTGTTGAAATAGGTAGTGAGCAGTTGGCGGCTTGGTGGAAGAGATAGAAGAATTGCGCCGCTGCCCTCTCAAATGGTTGTTTGTTGATGTTGTTTATTTGCAGTTTTCTTGTTCTTCGTGCTTTTGTTGTTTCGGCGCATTCGTTGTTGGACTGAAAATGCCAGTGACTTTCACCATTCCACGCTGGACTGGACTGGAATATTTATGTATTTGGTTGCACTATGTTTTTCTATTTAACTTCTTGTTTTGTTCAACGCGACGCCTTAGTGCCCAACTTGCTCGACGCTATGCCTTTGCGGTGCCTCGCCCTCTGCTGTGTCGTCTGTCGATGTTGAACATTTAAACTTTTGCGCTGGAAGTAGAAGAAAAAAAACATAAAAAAGTTAATAATTTTATAAGTATGAATCACTTTTTTATAAAATACAAGCACTATTTAAATCCGCAAAGCACTTAAGAGTACCTACTTTCATACACTTAAAGACAAAATAATAGGTGCGCAGTTCATTATTGTTTGCAACTTCTTATATTCTTATTCAGAGTTTTTAGAAAATTTTCGGGTATGCAGTTTTGTAGCCCATTAAATTTTAGTAGAATAACGTGCAAGTTTCAACTCGCTACAAATTATTGTTGATTTCTGAGAATTTTTTGTCGAGGTTGCAGCACATTTCTTCCATAAAAAAGAATTTTTTTTTGATGAGTTATATGGAGGAAAATTGCAATTTATTATATTATAATAATAATAATAATAGATTGGCGCTTACACATATGTAAGTGTTTGGCAGAGCTTCTCCTCCGAATTGTGGCGTGCGCCTTGATGTTGTCACACAAAGCGGAGGGACCTACAGTTTTACGCCGACTCCGAACGGCGATTGTATTTTTATGAGAAGCTGTTTTTCATGGCAGAAATACACTCGGAGGTTTGCCATTGCCTGCCGAGGGACGACCGCTGTTAAGAAAAAACGTTTTTTCTATTTTTTTGCGATGTTGCTTTGACCAGGGCTTGAACCCAGGCGTTGCGGAGTGGAAGCGCGCACTGCTTACCACTACACCACAGCTTACCACTACTTCCAGTAAAATACTAAGGTTTACATTAGCTGCATCGATTTTTAAAATCAATCTAAAAATTTAGTTTTTTACAAAAATCATATCAGGTGGGTTTAAAAGCCGTTTGTATAAAAATGTTAAAAAATTGTATCAACGACATCAGAATAATCAGATTTTTGGAGCTAATTTCAAATCGGTCTAGCTAACGTCTGTCTTAACATTTTTCCAAAATATAAAATATTTGGCGGAACTCTTAAAATATAATAAATTTTATAATTCCGGTGGAAAACTTGCAACTTTGTTTGGCATGCAAATAAATTTATACATATAGTGTATTAAGTCGATCCCATCAAAAAAATTGAAAAACGCAACGAATAATATTAAATTTTTTATTAAGTTCAGTAAAAACTTAAGGCAAACGAAATTTTCGTCGATTTTTGAAAAACAAAATTCCGAAAACCTGGAAATTCGATGGAACTTCCAAAATTTTTAAAAGAGTTTTCCAAATTTTTCAAACACAAGAAAATCACCAAAATTAAAACGACTACAATCGAAAATCCGTAAATAGCTAACGCATCGAGAAGGAAGGACATAATAAATAACACAAATGATGAGATGAATCCCAACGTTCGTCGAGCAAACCAATCTATGGAAACCGACTGTGGAAAGAGCAGTAGGTAGAGAAAAACTTTCAGCACTTAACGTTGTGGTTTTTGTGGTAACCGCATACAAAATCTCCATAGGGTTTTTTGGGGAATGATGCTAAAGAGACAGTCCATGGCCACATATAAATATGGGTCGCTCGGGTTACGTATACCCGAATTTCTCTTAGTCTACCATTGGACACGGAATTTCTTATGGAGTGTAATTTTGCTCATCACGTGGAAAAATTTCACCAGCTACAATCGGAATTCGAAATGTGATTCATGAATATACGAGTGCACACTTATTTCTTCTAAAATCCCATTCAGGAATCACAAAGTAGCTCTAGGTGCGAATTCGGTTGAACACCACTGCCCTAGGTCCTATATTCGGATAATTCCGAACTGGTCAGAAATCGAGGCCAATTCTATCCTACACTCCTCTACAAGCTTTGATCTAATCAAGGAAGTGGATAGTGCCTTAATTGCCGCCTAGCTATCTCAGAAAATATACATCTGTGCTTCTGTGGGCAGATGGTGTTTTACGTGTACTTACTGCCTACTTAACTGCAACGGCACTGCGACTTTCCCGAATCCAGTCTTCGCAGCTCGATATGATATACCTATATACTACATAGGAGTATATTTTGGATGTGTTAGTAGCAGCCTCATTGTGTTTAACTTAATGAATGCACATGGAGTAGGTCAACCTGAACTTTGCCTCTTACAATGAGAAGGTCCAACTATCTTACAAATAACACTGTAAGCCTACTACTTATCCTCCAAAAGACACCAAATGAAAAAGACGGTGAAATATCTGAGTAGTTGACACTCGTAAATCATATGCATTTCCAGATAACACATCCAAGTGCCCGAAAGCTAAACAACATAAGTAAATGAAATGTATTGAAAATGTGGTCACACAGGACGTTTTTGAATCGGAAGCTGAGTNACATCCAAGTGCCCGAAAGCTAAACAACATAAGTAAATGAAATGTATTGAAAATGTGGTCACACAGGACGTTTTTGAATCGGAAGCTGAGTTAGGGCGTTTTTGAACCAAATTCTGGGATAGGGCGTGCTTCAGTAAAATTTTGAGATAGGGCGTTCTTGAAAAGTTTTCTGAGATAAGTAGGGCATTTTCAAACTGGTTGCCCAGATAGTTCGATCTCCCACTCAGGTGTCGATATTGTGCAAGCGCCAATCTATTACTATTAATGTGTGTCATTNTGGGATAGGGCGTGCTTCAGTAAAATTTTGAGATAGGGCGTTCTTGAAAAGTTTTCTGAGTTTCCGAACTGGCTGCCGAGATAGGTCGATCTCCCACTCAGGTGTCGATATTGTGCAAGCTCCACTAAGTCTTAGACGAGCGATTTAGTAATAAGAAACGTGTGTCAAGTTAGCACTACACTTTTCGAAATTGGAAAAGTTAACTACGGCATTAATTGTAGCTTTTCTGTTGTAAATTTGTTGTGGAAAGAAAAAATTTTTAGCTCTCGTTTTTTAAGAAAAAAAATGGTATGTAGTGCTAACTTGTCACCATACACCTCGTCNTTTGTTGTGGAAAGAAAAAATTTTTAGCTCTCGTTTTTTAAGAAAAAAAAAAATGGTATGTAGTGCTAACTTGTCACCATACACCTCGTCAATATCTCAATTCGATCGACTAGGTGTATGGTGTCAAGTTAGCACTACATGCCATTTTTTTTCTTAAAAAACGAGAGCTAAAAATTTTTTCTTTCCACAACAAATTTACAACAGAAAAGCTACAATTAATGCCGTAGTTAACTTTTCCAATTTCGAAAAGTGTAGTGCTAACTTGACACACGTTTACTATTACTAAATCGCTCGTCTAAGACTTAGTGGACGAACATAGAAACTTTTTGGAACATCTCAGTCCAAACAGTCACGATTGGATAGTGGCATTCATTAAACATTTTTGCTGTAAACCAGTGTAATTTTAGTATTAATTGTTGTAAGAAAATAAGTAATATTTACGTAAATAACGGGCGGAAGCAATGTCAAAGATCAAGCATGAGGGAAGGTACCGAGGAAGCTGCTATCTTGCGTTAAAAGTTACTTCGCGACGCAAAGCCATATGTACGTATGTACATTAGGGGTATCCAAAAAACGCATGTTCAGAAGTAAAGTCGGGTGTTTAATGCTCTCATTATTTTTTTTATTTTATTTGGAAACTAAAAAATATATAGAGGTCGCTCAAAGCGCTCAAAGTTTTCCACGTAATTTATATGGGGAAAACCAGTTTCTGTGAAATTTAATATTTTCCGATGGGAAGACTTTGTTTATCTTCAGAAGGCTTCAGGAAATAGTACCCAACTTTTTTATTTTACCATTTTTTAATACTAACGATTTTTTATGGGTACCTCATTGAATTTTTTGCGGTTTTTGGGG